CTATGAGTTGGGGGTGACTCGATGGCACATAACAACCCCTGCCCCCAAGCCTTATACATGCTTTTACCCCTTGGATTGCCCCAGTTTAAGAGCAGAGTGAGTTAATCTGTAGACAAGGACAAGGGAAGAGAAAAAATTAAAATCTAGGGAGTAGAAAAAGCCACTAGAGGGGGTTTTGGGTACAACTTAAGAAGTTCTAGTAATTTCCCAGGGTTGACTACAGAAAAAGAAAATGAGGGTCATGCAAGATTAAAATGTGGGTAACCATGTCTGTGTTAACCTTCCCCATTTTTATCTAGTGTTATCATTATTGCTTTAGAGTCAACGCTCACCTGGGTGGAGTTGGCAGACAGCTTTGCTTCTTAGAAAGCCAAATCCAGGGTTCTGCCTTTCTGCCTGATTTTAGGTTCCAGAAACTTACTTGGAACATCAGATTCCAGAGGGTAATTTTATGGAGTTTGTTTTGCAGGGATAGCTGGGAGTATGGCCACCCTGCTCCACGATGCGGTAATGAATCCAGCAGAAGGTAATGTTTCATGGTCCCAGGGAGGGGCAGTAGGGGATGTGTAAAGAGGCAGGACAAAATGTGGTGGGAAGGGGACTCCTGGCCCCAGTTGGAGCAAGTAGAAGAATCTTTTACTGTGTTATTAAAGGCCTCAAGAAGGGACATGAACATTCAAGTTTTATTGTTATCCTATTCTCCAAAACAACACTACTCAACATGTGTTCCTCAGACCAGCAGCATCAGCATCATCTGGGAGCTTGTTAGAAATGTACATTCTCAGACCCAGCCCCAGACCCAAGGAATCAGAATCTCTGAGGATGTGGACCAGACAGACATTTCTGGTCCTTGTTACCCCTTATCAACCCTAGACGTATAGGAAGAACTCTTCAAAGGTCTTTGTCAGGGCTTATGTTTAGTTCACTGTTTTGTTTTTGTTGAGAATATGCACAGCAAAACAGTGTTCAGTCACTTTAAAAAAAATAAAGGGAAATTATTGTGGAAAATCAAACATAGACAATGGTAGATAGAATAGTATTTTGAGCCCCCCATATCCTTTATTCTGCTTCAAAGTTTATCATTGTGCCATTTTGTTCTGATAATCTCCCCCATATTATTTATTTATTCTTTTTAAATTTCTGGACTACTATAAAGCAAATGGCAGCTGTGAAGACTTGCGTTTGACACGTCAGCCCACATGTCCTTAGCCGATTTGGATCTGAATAGTGAGAATCTTGTGGAACTAGTACTGGGCATGTTTTAAGCTGGATTATGCTCTATCTGACAGTGGCTTTAGGTGAGATGGGGAACTCTCTCCACCTTTTCCCTCCATCTGAAGATGGTCCCTTGCCAGAAGGAAGAAGTAGAGATAGAAAGTTTCGACATTTTCAGTAGTTTAAGTCTTGTGCTTTAAGTTTGCTTGACTTTGTCTTTTAAAAATATATTTGCTCTCAGCTGCCACTCCATGTCCTAACAGTCAAAGGACATGTTCTGACCTATGAGATGGTCCTATTGGCAGGTGGGGGAAGTGGGGCCCTTTTCTGTGGGAGGTTGAGGGTTTACCAGGATGTGTAGGTAAAGGAAGATGTTCATTTCACTTTGGTTTTCTTGTCATGTGCAGGGTGAGATATGCTGGAAGGATCACACTTTTTTCACTTTTTATTTAGGAAGTGGAGTGTTAAGAAAGCCTGTGTACTATTTTATCTCCCACGTCATCTTTCTAAAGAGATGTGACATACTTAGATAGACTTGTCCTGTAATTAGGCATTCAAGAATGTGCTTTGGGCCAGGAAAGATTATCCTGAAAAATTAACCAGTTAGAGGTGTTCTTAGGTAGGCAGGGGGAGGGAAACCTCTCTAGGTTATAGTTCGGTGAAAAACTTAAAATCTCCAAATAGATACACTTATATGTTACATATCTTGGGCTGCTGCTGCTGCTTTTTTTTTTTTTTTCCTTAAAGTTTATTCATACAGAGACTTGGTAGGTGGCCAGTTAGCCCATGGATTTTATTTTTTTAAAAGGAGCAAAAAGTGAGGCTCAAATCAGTCCCTCTCCCCTTTTTCTCATCATTATTATTGACTTTAAGGAGCTCTGGTGGCTTAGGGCCTAAGGCATTTGACTTCTAACCAGAAGGTTGGCAGTTAAAACCCACCAGCTGCTCCATGGAAGGAAGATGGGGCAATCTACTTCTGTAAAGATTTACTACCTTGGAAACCCAGTGGGGGTCACTGTGAGTCAGAATTGACTTGATAACAGTGAGTTTGGTTTTTAGTTTTATTAGAAGGAAGATAGCGCAATCCACTTCCATAGTGATAACTGCCTCGGAAACCCAAGGAGGGGCTGCTATGAATCGGGTCTGACTCCACGGAACATAACAACAACAACATTGACTTAACTATTGACTTAACGTCTTTATTTCTTTAAAAGAAGAGAAAACTACATTATTCATTTGACAGTGTGAAAGGATCATTAAAGCTTTGAGGGACCACAATTAGCCCTCATTTGCCTCATGTCATCTGAACCATCAGTTGATTTTGTATAATCAAAACCAGTGTCTTCATTGGAGCTTGTTGTTGAACTCCTAGGCAAACATAATCCTAGTGTCTCTTCAAGAGTACTGTGACACAGAAGCTAAAAAACACTGTCATAAGTACAGACCATGTAAAGTAAGTGTCAGGGAAACGAGTTCAGTAGACCGGTTAGGGACAGAGGATCTGACAGATGGGGTCAGCTAAGCCAGCTTGAAGTGGCTGTCCAGTCTATGGGCCACCTTAAGCATGGTTCAAGCAGGAAAAACATAGGGAGACAGCCAGCTTCCTAGCCTGGTTCTTGAGACACATTTTAAATGGGGTTGCCTGGCGCTAGCCTTTGTTGATTTCTCATACTGGGGCTCTGTGTGTGCTAGCTCTTTGGGGCCGTTACCAGTTTGTCTAACTTGCTGTTTCTCTTTACGGCTTGACTTTTCATTTCACCCCAACATGGGGTGGGGCCAAACCCAACCATCTGATCACCCGCTGCCCTTCCGGACTGCTGTATGGCCTGACAACAGTTGTGAAGCAACGCATGCAGATGTACAACTCGCCGCACCGGTCAGCCCTCAGCTGCATCCGGACAGTGTGGAGGACTGAGGGGTTGGGGGCCTTCTACCGGAGTTACACCACGCAGCTGACTATGAACATTCCCTTCCAGTCCATCCATTTCATCACCTACGAATTCCTGCAGGAACACGTCAACCCTCGTCGAGAATACAACCCACAGTCCCACATTATCTCAGGGGGGCTGGCCGGGGCCATTGCTGCAGCTGCCACCACCCCCCTGGACGTCTGTAAGACCCTCCTCAACACTCAAGAACATGTGGCTCTATCTCTGGCCAATGTCAGTGGTCGCCTGTCAGGCATGGCCAATGCTTTTCGGACAGTGTACCAGCTCAACGGCCTGCCCGGCTACTTTAAAGGTGTCCAGGCACGTGTCATCTACCAGATGCCATCCACGGCCATTTCTTGGTCCGTCTATGAGTTTTTCAAGTACTTCCTCACGAAGCAAAAGTTGGAGAATCGAACTCCATACTAAAGGAACAGACAGTGGGAAGTGATTCCAGAATCTTATTTTTATAAGGCTTTCCCTGCCTGCTTCCATTCCCTTGTCCTCATACCAAGCTATTTTTGCAGGGTGTTCACTATGGGCCTTCTGCCTCCTAATGCCTTAGAAAGAGGGGGAGGATGGGATGGTGGCCATCCGCAGGGAGGTCTGAAGTGGTGGTGGTTGGGGAGAGACTGTGTAAGGGGAGAAGGAACTGCTTTTCCTCTTCCTCCCCTTAGAGGAATGTAGCTTTTCTGCTTCACTGTCACAGTCTCCTCCCAAGAATCTTAGATCACAGAGGAGGGAAGAAAATGTGCAGTGACTGAAAACATTAAAGACAAATTTTATGTATATAAAAGTTCCAGTACACAGTATAAAATAGATGGATAATGTTTATCCTTTATTTTTCTATGTAGAAGTTTTTGAATTTGTGTGTGTGCCTGTGCGTGTGTACAAATAGTATTACAGCTGTGAATATACAGCTGTTTTTTTTTTTTTTAAAGAGGGCTAAATTCTTCCATCAGGTTAAATGAAAAGGCACCAGAGTAACTGGATTAAATTTGCTGAATGTGGCCTAAAATTATGTTTAGCCCCCAGATAGAAGTTTCACTTGAATGTAAAATAATAAATATTAAGTATATGTTTTGAATTTCTCTTTTCATGAAAGAAAAAAAGGTACGTTGGAAAAAAATCACAATATATATTTCTTACAGCTACTACTCTTCCCCTTCCCCTCCCCCTTTTATTCAGTCAAGGAGCCCTCCTGGTTAAGTGCTCAGCTGCTAACCAAAAGGTGGGTGGTTCGAACCTACCGGTCTCACCATCAGAGAAAGATGTGGCAGCCTGCTTCCATAAAGATGACAGCCTTGGGAATCCTATGGGCAGTTCTTTAGGATCACTGAGTCAGAATGGACTCTTACGGCAGTGAACTTGGTTTGGTTTTTATTCAGTGAGTCACCTTCATGTGCCTTTTTCCTCCGTCTTCCCTAAAAATTACAGGACCAAAGATGTAGCTCTGGAGTGTTCTGTCCTTCTGTATACACACACTGCACACATGCTAGATGGCAGAATCTCTCTAATGCTATAGGACAGTGGCCTCCAGTGGCATTATTGTTATTAGTCTTAAGCCTATGGAGACCCATCTCCTTCCCTTGGTTGTGAATGACATGAACCTTAACTAAGACCTTGAAATTCAATCCTTTGGCCACTTGTGCAGATAATTGAGATAAATCCTGTCTTCATTCTTATGATTTATTTCTGCATTCGCTTATTTACAGCTTTGCTATCTTTGTGTTTTGACTGAATCTCCTCCTATGTTTTGCTGTACAGTTTAGGGGTTTTTAAAACATAGTATATCTAGGGCATGTGTCTATATCCCCTGCTCTGTCCTGACCATTACTTCTCCATCACAGAACCTTCACCTACATAGTGACAGAGCCAGCAGGCCCTATAGCTTGGGCTAGTTGCTGAAGTCTGACTCAGACCTTATGGAAAAAGGTGCTGTTTGGAGCCATTCTTCAACCTTATTAGGCTCACGTCACCTAAGAACATCAGGTCTAACTGCCTTGTTTTCTGAAGTGGTGTGTCCCAAGTCAGATGGTCCCTCGGAGAAAATACAAGCCCGTTTCCTCTATGCAATTTGATTTGCCACCAGACCACTATCTATGGGGAGACTGACCTTGGTTTCCTTTTATGAACCCTCATCAGAGCCTGTCTTTAAAAGTGAGCGAGAAGTACAGGTGTGCTTTCCTTTTGATGCTCCTAGGTGGGGGCAGGCCTGGGCTCCTTTCTTCCAGGGAAGAGCTCGGGTTATACTTGGAGAATTTTCCTTTTGGGACTCTGCACACAGTGTCTCCAGGAGTAGCTGTTGTTTTTGTTGCTGTTCTAATGAGAAATTTTATTTTAAAAAAAATCCAATTAATTTACTTCCTTTTTCAGATCAAGGACAGGAGAGTACCACCACATGGGGTTCCTCCCACATGTACCCCATGAGCAGGGCCAGCTGCTGACCTGCCCCACCCTGGTGTCATGCCCCAGTGGAAACCAGTTGCAGGAAGCTCTTTCCTGCTTTAGGATGCCAAAAGCCCCTGGAGACCATGTTGCTGAAAGTTGTTTGTACGTGCCCTCCAAACATGTCTTTGGCTAATGTTAAAGTCTGGGAATGGAGATAAAAAATACTAGATCAAAATTTTAAAGCATTACCCAACCCCACACTGAGTCTGCTTAACTGTGATAATGCCACACTGCTGCAAAATCTTCCTAGTTATTAGGATTTTTCTTTAGATGGCATCTAGAAAAGAAAGCATTGACTTCTCTAGGAATACTCCTTTCAGTAGGGGGATGCAAAGAAAGGCAGGAACTAGGTTTCAGTGTGATGCGGGCTGGGAGTCAAGACGATCTGGTCTTGGCTTTCACTGTGTGGTGAGGGATCCATGGTATGTGGAATCGTCGTAACACCACTGTCCTGCTTGCCTTCTGCGTGGTGATGAGGTGGAATGACTATTATATTTTAAGATACTTGGAAAGCTGGGAGGCACTAAGCAAATAAAAGTGGTCATTCATTTTGTAGGAATGAATGTTCCACACTCTTAGCCTTAACTCCAAAGTTTGTATTGTCCCATGCTGACTACAGTCCAGTTGTTGATTGTGACTTTGACATTGTGAGGTGCTAAATAGGAAAATAATTTTCCTCTCCCTTGACTATGACCATCTTAGTAGAATCATGCATGTACTTGGTTATTAGTGTCTTTTTGGTGACAATTTTGTTTTGTTGTTAGTTGCTGTCAAGCTCTGACTCATGGTGACCCCATATATAACAGAATTAAATATTGCCTGTTCCTGTGCCATCTTCATGAGTACAATACTCCTTTTAATAGTGTGTGTGTGGGTGTCTTTGTGTGTGTTTGCTCTTCTCAGACCATGATTTGAGGTCAACCAGTTATTGATCAGAGTTTTACTTTCATTTTATAACTTAAAAATAATTTTTTTTTTTCTTCCAAGTGGGATAAATCTTTAGATCATGACTTTCTATTTTCTTTCCTTCGGATTGAATTTAACTATTTACTGACCTTCGTCCTCTGTGTGGTTTCTGCTTCTTTTTTATGGTAGTGTCTTAGTCAAGTGCTGTCCTCCAAAGTTCCCTGAAGGCTGCATCTCCAACACATTGTTATGCCAAGAAGGTTTTATTTAACTTTATTTAAGGATGGTTGTGCCTGTGAAATAGAAATGTACTGCTGCTTTCTATGCAAGATGCACAATGTATGTGATAGGGGTGAGCAAGTGTTATTTCCTAAATGTCTGTAGTAAATATTGTTTCTGCTTCTGAATTGTTGCCAGCTCTTTGAAGAAGGGGAGACGTGTGTTTATGTGTGGGGAGTTTATTTCTGATACGCTGCTACAGTTGTAACACTGGAGCTAGAGAAAATAAAGCATTGATCTTTGAAGTGTTGTGGACTCTGTGGTGGGAATGTTCAAATTAGAGCCTTGTGGATGAAAGAAGGGACCTCATTTATGGGGCTTGTCTCTATTCCCGTCTCGTACATTACTGATCAGGATCTGTAGCTTTGATGGGAACCACTCTTCCAACCTGCTTACCAGAATGGAAGCAGTTCGCCTCCTCGGCTGCCCAGAGACACTCACAGTTTAATGCCAGGGCAGGGCTGGGAGCTTTCTGGGTGGCTTCCCTCACCATGCAGGAGAGGGGGCAGCTTGCTTTCTTGGTGGGAGTGTGTCTTAAGTTTCCTGGGGCTGCCATAACAAAATAACTAAATAGTGGGTGGCTTTAAAGAACTGAAATGTATATTTTCACAGTTCTTGAGGCTGGAAGTTCAACTTCAGGGTCTCAGCCACACTGATTTCTTTTGCGGGCTCAGAGAGAAATTGCTCGATGTTTCTAGCCTCTGCTGGCATCACTTAGAAGCCCTCTCAAGCATCTCCAAAAAAACAGCTGCCATGGCGTTGACTTTGATTCATGGTGACCACATGTGTTAGAGTATAACTGCACTCCATAGGGTTTTCTATGGCTGATTTCTCAGATCTCCAGGACTTTCTTCCAAGGCACCTCTGGATGGACTTGAACCTCCAGCCTTTCTGTTAGCAGCCAAGTGCACTGTGCACCACCCACCTACTCCCTCAAGCATGTCCACACACCTCAAATTCCAGCCTTAGGCCATGAAAGGAAGGCATTTCCTCTCCTGGGCCAAAGTCTCCTAGAGTAAGGTTTCCTGTCTGAGTTTCCAGGCCCTCTAGTTGATTGGCCACCCCTTCCAAGAGAGGCTCCACTCCTCCCCACATGAGTGACCTGAATGGGACTAACATCACAGAGAAGGGTGTAACAAATCCAGTGTTGTACAAGAGCAAGACACATAGCTACTGGGTGGGAGTGGAGGTAATGTATTATTGCCAACAGGGAAATAAAGAGTTGTCTCTGGTCTAAGGCAGAATGTAGTAAGTTCCCTAAGAGTAATAAATGCAATTTGGGAGAAAAGAGCTTGGTTTGCAAGATAAGCACATTAACAAATGCCCTAGTGGTAAGTGATATGTAAGAGCTTTGACTGCTATGGTAAAGAGCTTGACCTTTCTAATCAGTAATAGGAAGTTGTTCTTGGGAAGGGGACACTATAGTTAGAGCTCCACTGTAGGAAATGCCTTGTGGCAGAGGTGGACAAGGTGGAGTCAAGAACAAACACCTGGAGCCCAGGAGATAAATGATTTGGTTTAACATTGAACTTGTCCAAAACTGGGGTGGCTAAAGTAAAAAGGCAAGAGAGGCTGGGACAGAATGAGTGTTCTAATGAATGTAGAAGTAGATTCAACAGAGACTTGAGGGACACGGGACTGTGGAGCAAGATGAGAAGGGACTATCTCAGGGAAGTGATAGTGTCAGGAGAAAGACCTGGCTAAGACAAAGAGCAGGTGGTGGTAGGGAAGATGCTTCAGCTCTAAACCTGATCTCTCCTTAGTCCTCATTCTCCTTAGTCATGTACAACTCC